TTGAAGGCAGATCCGGAGAAATAGGATGCAATAAGGAATCTCAAGACACCATCGAATAGACTTCAGCTTCAAAGAGCGCTGGGGATGATAACTTACCTAGCAAAGTTTGTCCCAAACCTATCGGAAATTACATCTCCACTACGACAACTCCTAGCCAAAGATGTTGCCTGGTGTTGGGAATGTGAACAGGAACGTGCTTTTATGGAAATAAAGAGGCTGATGATGTGTCCTCCAGTGCTGACATTTTATGATGTTCGTGAGCCAGTTACGCTGTCTGTAGATGCCAGCTCAAAGGGTCTCGGTGCTGTTCTACTGCAAAGGGGCAAGCCAGTAGCTTATGCGTCGAAGGCTCTGACGACTTCCGAGATGAACTACCCACAACCCATTGACCGTCGAAACGGACCATAAGCCACTGGAGTCAATTTTAAAGAAACCGATGGACCGGGCTCCACCGAGGCTACGAAGAATAAGATTAGAGGTAGAGCAGTACAACCCGAAAGTGATTTACGTAAAAGGATCGAACATTCCGATACCGGATATTCTAAGTCGTGACGTTGAAAATGATGAAAACACCGAAGAAGATGAACAGATTGAGGTCCACATCGTCCTCCAAATGTCCGAAAAGACCTGTTCTGAGCTTCGAACACAAACTGGCGAGGATACTGAGGTAAGAGCGCTCAATGATGTTATTTTGAAGGGTTGGCCCGAGGCCAAAGAGGATTTGGCACCCGAACTCCGGAAATATTGGGGTTTCAGAGATGGTCTCGTTTTCAAATCGAATCAGATTGTGATTCCTAAGTCGCTGAGGAAAAGTATGTTGCAAGTGGTTCATAGTGGACATCCAGGAGTCCAAAGCTGTATCCGAAGACCAAAGCAACTGCTATTTTGGGTCAACATGAGCAGAGATATCCAAGATATGGTAGAATGCTGCAGCGTATGTCAACAGCATCAGCGCTGCAATCAGAAAAGTACTATTGAGACGAAAGCGGTTCCTGAGCTACCCTTCGAGTGAGTGGCGTCAGATTTGTTCTACTTTCGAGGAGAGGAGTACGTTTTGATCGTGGATAGCTGGTCAAGCTGTCACGATCAACGTCCAATGAAGTAATCGATATTATGAAGAACTGGTTTGCTACCCACGGTATTCCACGAGTTTTGGAGTCAGACAATGGACCTTAATACAACTCACAACAGTTTCGGAAGTTTTCGGAAGACTGGGGATTTGAACATCGCACGTCAAGCCCTCATTTTCCACGTTCCAATGGACTGGCGGAAAGATTTGTCCAGGTTGCAAAAACTTTGATGAAGAAGTGTCACCACGATAGATCGGACCTAAACCTGGCATTATTTTAGCACGCAATACTCCAAGAAGCGATAACATCCCATCTCCAAATGAGCGTCTAATGAGCCGTCTCACTCGCTCAACGTTGCCTATGACAACAGAGGTATTGAAACCTAGAGTAATTGAAGGTGTTAGAGACTCACTCTGCAAGGAAAGACAGATACAAAAAGCTTACGCTGATCGTGGTTCACGAGATCCTTCCGAGTATAAACAAGGTGATCGAGTCATGATTCAAGATCCCAAATCGAAGCAATGGTTTCCCGGCGAGGTATTGAGGAAGTTTGGATCTAACCGGTCATACCTATTATCAGACGGAGAACGGACCTTTAGGAGAAACACCCAGCACATCCGAGAAAGGAAATTTGATGTTATGCAAAGCAAGGACAATCCACCACTGGAAATACAGGTTTCGGATCCCGTTAATGGTCCACAAACGGCTGCCTCTGAACGGAAAGATGCCGAAACGGATAATGAAGTTGACCAGGATAGAGTGGTTGAGGCTGACCCAGGAGAAGGTAGTTCAAGCCCACGTTATGAAACTAGATCAGGTAGACTGGTAAAGAACAACAAGAAAATCGATTTTGAATATTATTAATTGCTAAAAGAGGGAAGATGTGACATATATGATTATTCTGTAAACACTACTACCTATGCACACCTTATGTGAGCATACCTGCTATATGATATACTTTGATGAATAAACGTCATTATTCTCGCGTATCTTACAGGGGCGCGAAGTATGCGTGATATGCTGGCTAGTGATACATTTGGTTTAGACCTGAAGCTGACAGAGCATACCAAGACCTGAAGCAAGCCATTGTCTCACCGCAAGTTTTGATGCTGTACGATCCAGCATTACCAGTAATTTTGGTGCCGTACTTTCACATCAGCTAACTTCAAGAAAATTTCAGGAACTTCAGAAATCTTTCAAAGGTCTTCAGAAAATTTCAGAGGGCTTAAGAAAAGTCCTGGAGTACTTCAGGATGGTTCCACTAACATTCAAAAACCTGTGAAAACTTGAAGGATGTTTTGAAAATTGCTGGAAAATTTTGAAAGCTTCAGGTCCGTTCGGTTAGTTTCAGAAAAATAGCTGGAACTTAACAGATGCACCAACCGGTGGAAACTAACGATTTTAAACTGGCTCACTACTTGACTAGCCTATTGGTCCCAAGTAAATCTATATAGTGTACTAGAATTTCGACTAGAATGGGGTACGCCATTCTAGTCGAAATTCTAGTACTACACTATGTTTGTTTTGATTCGCTATGAAAGTCTGACAGACAAAATGAGGGATTCGTGGATTTTCCTATGTTTCGAAGGGTGCACCGATTTGCTTGGGACCAAAGATAGTACCAGAGCTGAGCCAAAAAGTTGAGCACGATTCTTCAGGACCTTCTGATATTAGAGTTACCTCTATGAATGCACCATGAAGCTAGTTCAGAAAACTTCAATGAAGTTAGGAGCCCCATGAACGTCTGGAAAATTTCGAAAGCTAAAGATCCGAAATCAGTTTTAATTTAGTTTTGAGATTTTCATGGAAATTCCAAGGATTTAAAGGAAGCCCTAACACTTCAGGGAAGTTCCGAAAACTTCAAGAACGTCCAGAGCATCATGAACGTTTCAAGTCCTTTGGGGTACGTTCCAAAAGCTTCAAAGCATTTCCATTAAATTTAGTAAATTGTCTAGTATTTCAGTGAATATCATAGAGCTTCAGGTCAGTTACATTGGTTACATTAATTTCAGGAAAATTGCATTGGAATTTAAAGATCCTATAGAATATTACGTAGCTTTGGGCAGTTCCATGATTATCAGAAAAATCACGGGAATTCCAAGTTTATTTCGAGTACTTGAAGGCAATTGACCACTTTGTCAAGCAGTTTTGGCGTGACTTTCTACCAGCGATTTCACAAAACTGGACCGAATAATTTATATTTTTTTATGAAACGCACAAATGTTGGCTACTTTTCTCGAGGTTCTAGAAGAAAAAATCTCAAAATAATGTTTTATTTCAAAGTTCGAGTGCTAGTAAACGTCATTTTAAGTGCTCGAATAAAATGGTTAATTCCATTAAATCCAGGAAAATAGCGAGAACCTTCCAGAAAAAGACGCAAAATTTAAAGAATTTCTACAGAACATCAGGGAAGTTTGGAGAGCTTAAGAGAAATGTTGTTTTATAAGGATATGGAAGTTTAGAGATTTTAGGGCAAGTTTATTAAATCCAAGGCAATTCCAGGAACATCATCAGAAGAGTAGATAAAACTTCAGGGTGGTCCATAAAAAAGGAAATACCGAGGATTTCGGAGAAGTTTCATGAACAGACTACCGGGATAGTAAGGACAAGTTTTGTAAAGTTCCGAGCACTTCAAGGAAGCTTCAAGAACTTTATGATTAAACCATCAGCATCAGGGATACTACAGGAACTTTTAAGAAGTTGTTGGACCTAGAAGGATATCCAGAAAATTTCAGGAAAGCAGAGAATTCCATAGAACGTGAGGAAAATTGAGGAAACTTTAAAGTAGTTCCAAGAACCTCAGTCGACGAGGTCTTCAGAGAAACTCAGAGATTTAAGGTAAGTCACAATAACTTCAGGAACGTCCAGACTTTTTGGGAAGTTACTCTTCCATAATTTTACACTCACTAGCGTATACTGTCATGTATACGGTAAGAATTAAACATCCGTTTATGAGAAAAAGTTATCCCATTGTCAATAAACGTGGCCGAAGTGGCACTACTCATTAATTATACCCATTAAGTAGTAACAGTTAGCAGCAATTCATTAATTGTTACAATAAATAATTTACTCATTAATGAGAAGAGCCAGCTTGATTGAAAAAGGGTTAACTTTTACTCATAAATGGGTATTTGATTCTTACCGTGCATGCGCGGGTTTGTTTAACTTTATTTTCGAATGACAGTACTAACAGCAAACAAACAATTTCATCACACTTACACAAGCAAATCGAACCAATACGAACCCGCCTGGAGAGAACTATAATATATTATCGAGTGGACCCCAGCAGCGAATAATGACGATGATTGTATATCCATTTTGGCAGGATATGAATTAAACAAATGGAATTGTCCCGATTCGAAACATGAATGTAGCTCCAAAAACCTGACATTGAAGCCATAATTCCTCAACGAACGAGCGCTGAACCAAAAAGCTTTGACCATACCAGTAAAAACATAAGCTATAATCAGATCACTTTACTCACCTGCTGTACTAAATTGGGCAGTTCGTCTAATAGGAAACAAGAGTGTACTAAAACAAAATCACATCCATTTACGACTACCGTTCGTATATTTCACTACGAAAAATCAATACATTCAACACTAAAAGCTAGAAGTCAGATAAATCAAGTCATGATAAACACGAAAAACCATGCTTAAAGCTAAAACGGAATTCATTAGCACTCATTAGTAAAGGCATTATTAGGTTGTACTGGATGGAAAAGTAGCGCTTACAGATTGTAATCTACTGAAGAAAGAAAAAAATCGAATACAACTCAAAACTGTCACTATTTCTAACTAAAATCTGGTAAACATGTCACAACACAAATCGAGAGCATTCACAAAACATTGGAAATCAAATTTGGAACCAACTGAACAACAGGGTGAGAGTGTAACAAAATAAACCAAAAGCTCTCCTCTAGGCACTCACTCTGGTTCCCGTGAAACGGGACGGCGACGGCGACTCAGCCAGGATCGAGGGAATCACTTTTTCCTCCTCTTCCTGTAGCTGCTGCTGCTGCTGCTGTTGTTGCTGTTGTTGCTTGCATAGTTGTTCCTGCTGCTGTTGCTGCTCCTGTTGCTTCAAGCGATTAGCCTGCAAATAAAACAAGTACGATAAATTAACAACCAGCATTGGTTTTGTTGAATTGATTCTTCTATATGTATAAGCAAAAGGCAAATAGGCTGCTTGGGTGGTTCTCTTTCTCACTTTCGACTTGGACTGGAACGGCACGTGCGGTGGATCACTGTAGGCCATAAACCGCCCGTGCGGCTGATCGGAGCGACGCTTCGGCGATACATAGTTCGAAATGCGACTGCTCGAGTGGCGTACAATCGAAACCCAATCTATCATCGTGATGACGACGATGGCATCGGGAAAATGTACAGCTTTCGGCAAGAAAAACAAAAGAAGCAAAATGATGCCTCACACTACACGACACAGAATGATCTTTTTGGCTTGCTTTGGAATTTCGGTTATTTTCATTCACGAATCACACCCCAAACAACAACGAGCTTCCTTTTGAAACACACGGCATGTCATGAGAATACAGTAGGCATATATCACAGATGACGTTAGTATAGATGGCGCTGGCACTTTAAAATGCGCGATGGGCTATTTATTTTTTGTCAGCGAGAAGCGCTGCTGGATGGGAATCGCTACTCCTATTAGTAAACACTCTCGCTTTCGGAAAATATCGGCGTATTTACAGTACAGCAGCAGCGATTGGTTAAATGACACTTGTTGCAGCAAACGACTACTGATGGGAAAATATTCGGGAAAAAACCTTCAACTTAGTTGGTGCAAATACGCGTTTTCTTCGCCATCTCGCGATCGTTCTGATAGCTGATACTCACGAATTGCAACTGGGAACGTCCATCACACATGGGACGTGCTTTGTTACACAGGAAACCGTACGCCCAAACGTGTTAAGGTATGTGTTAAAAGTTTAAAGCAGAGAGCGGAGTAACCTAGTATAGTGTATAGATACTGAGAGGCATCAACCGACGGCGGGTGGCACAGGAAAAATGAAAAACGGAAAATGCTACACTGAATGAAGCAAAGGGTGGAGGAAGAGCCGGGGAATGGAAGAGGTCGACACAGTTCGACATGCGTTCACAACAGGGATAGAGAGAGCTAGAGAGAGAGAGACGACGAAATCGCAACAACATAGTGAGATGAACTTAATGAGATTAATAAAATAAAAATAAATCGCGAAACAAGAAGAGCGCCAGATGAAAAGTTGAGAAAAACATCTCATGGGAATAAGAAGACCCATCGGTAGAAGACGGAACCATTGGAGAACTCGGGAGTAGCTGAAGCGGGTGGTGTGCGCTGTGGTAGTGTTTGTTGTTTGCAAAGTAAGGCGTCGAAGAAAGTTGAGATTTATTACCGAAAGAGAAGAATGAGACGAGTTTTGATTATTTTAAAGAACAATGATGATCGACTATCTCTTCCCAAACTGGGGTGGCAGTATTCGATGCAGATGGTCAAGGGTTTTTTTAGAAGGAAAAAAAAAATCAAGGTGCAAGCAGTGCAAGTGCTTTCCCCACAGACCATACATCAGAAAAATTAGTCTTGGATGTATCCAACTTTTTACGTTGGCCTACTATGAAAACTGAATCACCCCCATTTGACATTAGACGCTAAAGTGTTATGACCTGAGTACTGTGGACTAAAGAGACTGAATTGGGTAAAGAGGCGACACCTTATATATTTGACAGGTCTGATGCTCGATTGGAATAATTGATGAACGGTTTTTTCCCCACTAATCTGTTTTCTTGGTCGCACTCGTTCGATTGAAATTGTGCAGTACATAGTATCATAGAGGTAACTCTAAGACCGAAGAAACGTGCTCAGCTCTGGTACTCTCTTCGGTCCAAAGCTAATGGATTCACCCCTCGAAACATAGAAAAATCCACTAACCCCTCATTTTATCTGTCAAACTTTCATAGAGAATCAAAACAAACATAGTGTAGTACTAGAATTTCGACTAGAATGGGATACGTTAATCGTTTGCTTGAGACCAATAGGCTAGTCAAGTAGTGAGCCAATTTCAAATCGATAGTTTCGTATTGATTGTTGGTAGTATGGGCCGATTAAACTTCAAAATGCTCTATGACTTTGATAGATAGTCGATTGTTCCAATTTTGACATTCCGTCTCTTTATAAATTCAGACTCTTTACTGTGGACCTGAGGGAGAGTCACGAAGAGAGAAAAATGGAACGTCAATAAGGCTGTCCACGAGACAGTTGCGATCAGGTGAATTTTTTGTTTACCAAGAACTTTTGACAGATCACAGTAGAACCAACAATCAATACGAAACTAACGATTTTAAATTGGCTCACTACTTGACTAGCCTATTGGTCCCAAGCAAAAGATTATCGTACCCCATTCTGGTCGAAATTCTCGTACTACGCAATGTTTGTTTTGATTCGCTATGAAAGTTTGACCGATAAAATGAGGGGTTATTGGTTTTTCCTATGTTTCGAGGGGTGAATCGATTAGCTTGGGACCGAAGAGAGTACCAGAGCTGAGCCAAAAAGTTGAGCACGTTATTTCGGGACCTTCTAGTCTTAGAGTTACCTCTGTGGAAGAACTTGCAGATTATTCTCATATTAATTTCTGCTTTGCTTATGTTTACATTCAGCACCATTAACACCAGCTCACCCACACACTCTAGATTTCTAGCTGTCAGTTCCACTGAGAAACGTCTCTTGGATCACCTTATTGCAGCCAGACGGCTGCTGTCACGAACTGTCAGTGCACTGCACCAAACCACTGTTCTCTGTTCGAATGAAACCTCAAATCGAAACATCGAAAATATCATTCTTTATTTGTAGGACAGTCAAATGGATGCTCATCAGTTCAGGGACAACATTTCAACGGGGCGTAATTGCTGTTGTAAACAATGGCTTTAGCTGTCGATTTCTCGCATCTTAAAGCTCACTCCTTCAAAATAACAATGCCAGATGGTAGAGGAAACATTCCTCTACCTATTGGTGTCATTATTTTTCATGAGTGAGCTTTTATTCGCGAGAAATCGACGGCTAAAGCCATTGTTTACAAATGCAATTAGGCCCCTTTGAAATGTTGGCACTGAGTTGATGACGAATTCAACCATAAGGAAATCCGAAATTCGACAACATATTGTTAAGAGGCTCGAGCAAAACAATAAGCAATCGAAATACTGCGGATGTTTTCGTTCAGTGCGGAAGCCAAGTAATTTTATGATGCTTTTATTACAGTTGAACAAGAATACATAAGGCGGTATTGAAATCTTGCGTAAAGCAATTTTTGATAAACTGTTGTTTCCAGCAATTTTATTCAATGGGACTCCGTTTCTTTTTGATTCATTCAAAATACACACAAATCAATATTGAAAGATACCATTAACCCGAGCATTAACCAAGGTTTTGTCAAAACATCTAGTGGCCTAATAAAATACCAAACAGAAAAGTACAGCTTCTCACCGCACACTGAACAATCTCAAACAATCACTGCACGCTCAAAGCGAAACACGCTATTTTGCTCCGCCTGTTTTGATTTGATTTCAATGGCACAAATTTTCATGACAAGAAGATCAAGTATACAATGAATTCCGTGTGTGCTATCTGCTTCTTCCTCCTAGCTGCGGACTATAGTCACTATATTCATAATCTGGCGGATAGAATCTCGGGAACCAATTGAGCTGTCAAATAGCGGAACCAATCGAGCAAATCACGACCAACAACAGAAAAGAGCACATCAGCTATTGCGAACAAAACTTCGGAAACCGTTTTCTCGTGACTCAAGGCTTGCCTACGCAAACTAACACCAACAATCAATACAAAACTAACGATTTTAAATTGGCTCACCACTTTAGTAGCCTATTGGTCCCAAGCAAACGATTAACGTACCCTATTCTAGTCGAAATTCTAGTACTACGCAATGTTTGTTTTGATTCGCTATGAAAGTTTGACAGATAAAATGAGGGGTTATTGGTTTTTCCTATGTTTCGAGGGGTGAATCGATTAGCTTGGGACCGATGAGAGTACCAGAGCTGTGCCAAAAAGTTGAGCACGTTTCTGCGGGACCTTCTAGTCTTAGAGTTACCTCTATGCTAACACCATCTTTGGGTAGGGGAAAGCTTCCCCTATTCGATGATGCTGGTAATTTGCGTTCGATTGGCAAGGAAAGACTAATCAACGTTTTGTTGGTCTACAATATATTGAATTGGTTCCGATTTTTGATGGAACAAAATTCTATCCGCCAGACTATAAATATAGCGACTATACTGCGGACTCCCACAATGCCGGAACGGGACTTGGCAATCGAGCTTATCACTATTCTTAATATTTTTGAAGAATACCCTTCGGAGAGTTGTGTGAGAGTAGGCTGTGCGTGAATTCGAACCTGACGTTTGTTTTTTCCGTGGAGTTTTTTTAATTTATAATCGGTTGCTGATCTGGCCATAACCAGGCCCAGGAGACAATTTCTAGTTCCTCATTCTAGGTCCCTATTATATGCCACTGAGAAGCTGTTCCGAAGCCAAATAGAACCTCCACGAGGCTTCCCATCATTCATCCCATCATTAGTTCCATCATTCGTTGAGTCGCAGCGTTGAACCTGAATATTGGCCACGAAAAGGCTTGCCAATGCACATCAAAAATCGACTACATACATCCGAACATTTGTTTATCTCAAATCGAAGGAAGACATTCCGCGCAACTACCATAAACCGGACTAGTTCATGTTGATCTTCGTCAACCTTCGTCTACAATTTGGACTTCTACATCAACACATGTCAGGCACCCTTCAGGTTCAATTGGCTAAACTTGGTGAGTTCGTTCCATTTTGTAAATTTTTATCTTTTCAGACTAGTAACCTTTTTGTGGTGCGTTACTGGTATGTATAAAATCTATCACCGAACCCTAGTCGTGACAACTTCAAACTAGGGAATCAGGATTTTCCAGTAATCAAAGGTTCACATTTGAGTCCTTGTTACTTTTTATGACTTGGTAATAGTGACAAGAATCGGATAGTGACCACCAGTTCTGCATTTCTATATTGTATATTTCAAATCAAAAATATTGTTTATGTTCTTCACATAATC